GTGTCCTGCGGACCGGCGCCTCTTGAATCCTGGGCCGCCGGCGGCCGCAGCGCGGGGCCCTTCCGAAAAGGGCTGCGGCACCGGGGGCCGTTCCTGGTGAAGGGGGGGACGGTGGCCACGGCGTTGAAGTGGCATCCCGAGAGCGCGGTGGGAGCACAGCCGAGGCTGTCACCGGGGGCCTGGCAGCGCTAACTTTACTCAGTTCTCCGATTCCTGGCCACGGGAACCGTGCTGGGGAAAGAACGTTCCTTCCATCTTAGTCTGCTCCAGTGGCTTTTAAGTAATGATGAGGAATTAGGGACAGCTTCTCCGCCAGTGTAACGGATCAGGCCAAGAGAATTTTTAAATCCATTCCTGCCAAAGGCAGTGGGAAGGGAAAGTCCTGTGTCTGGTTGGGAATTGATAAGGCGGGACATAAAAATAATTTCAGGCTGCAAGAGCTGTGAGTTTGAGATGAGGTGATGACTTAAAAGGCTGCAAAATGTACTCCCTTCCCTGAAGGGGAGTAGGAGGACATCAAGTGCTTAGACTCTGCAGTTGCTTCTAGGTGGCAGACCTGTAGGTACAGCAGCCCCGCAACAAGCTGGGAGGGTGCGGGGCTAATCATAGAACCACAGAGCATTTTGGGCTGGAAGGGACATTAAAGTTCTACCCCCTTGCCACGGTCAGGGACACCTTGCACTAGCCCAGGTTGCCCAAAGCCCCGTCCAACCTGGCCTTGAACCCTTCCAGGGAGGGGGCAGCCACAGCTTCTCTGGGCAACCTGTGCCAGGGCCTCACCACCCTCACAGGAAAGAATTTTTTCCTTAATGAACGTGGTTCCCTGTAACCTCTGCAGCAGCCAACACAGAACTCGTATACGACCATGTGGTTGGGTAACTGAACACCTGCTTGTGTGAGACACCAGTGAACCACAGCGCTACTGGCAGTGTGTGTAATCGCAGAGCACGTTATGGGTTCTGCCTGCACAGGCTTGAAATACAGCAGCAGCACTTGGGACAAGTTAAGGCATTACCTACACACGGTTAAGGCCCAAGCTAGAGAAATGATGTACCTGTTAAAGGTATGGTCGTCACAGGAGACCCAAAGCCTTTTGATTTTTTGATGTTGGTTTTGAACATATTACTGCATCATCAGTTGCCTGCTGACCTGTGGTTCATCACAGAAGTTTTGGTGGCCACTTTAGCTTGTACTGCGTTGTTTCAAACATGGAAGTTCACAGTGCTTGAGCCAAACGCCAGCTTATCAGCTGGAACCATGAACTGTAGACAGCAGATCTTCCCTCAGTCACATCCTCAAACATCCCATGAACAAAAAACTGCCATGTGGATGTCCTCTGTTGCTGTCTTGCTCAAGGGCAGGCAGTCAGTGGGCCCTCGTGTGTGGTTGATGGCAGCACACAAAAATTTAACCTTCTTTTTACCATGATCATGTTCCTCAAGGCATGGAGAAAGAGGGGCGTTGGCAGTACAGCCAAATTCCCTGTGTTTGTCATTCCTGCTCTGAAGTGAGAGCACTGCTGCAGCCTCAAGGAGGATGGAGAAGTAGGTGCCAGCTGACTTGGACCTGAGCTGTAGAAAGACATGTGGCCATTGTCAGCCTGCTGTTGTACATCCTCTGTGTGCTCCTGAGGCAGGCAAGACGCTGCTTTACTGGGGCAGCTGCTGTTGTCTCAAGCTGAAATGAGGAGGTTTTCTCAGTCTAAATGAGCACTGGGGTGGTTTGCCCCGAAATGCAATGGGGCACCAGCAATAGGCTGGAGAGGTTCTCAGTTTTCTCTCCTCTTGGAAAGGAGGATGAAGGCACAGCTGCGGAAGTGATGGGTCACCTTGAGAATTAGCAAATTACTAAGTCATACTGTAGGAAGAAATGCATTTCCTCCTCTCCTGGTCTTTTTAAAATCAACGGGTTTGATGCTAATTAGCTGCTGTGATTACTGTGACAATGCATTCTTTCTACTGCACAACTAAAAAGGAACTTCACATAAAGTAGAAAGCCCCTACAAGCCCTTTTCTAAGGGCTCCTTACTGCCCTTTAACTCTTCCGAAGGTCAGAAATTGAGTTGCAAATTCTTCACTCCTTTTCTTACTGTTTTTTTTTTTGTTGTTGTTGTTGCATATATGCAATTGCTGCTGTCTCTGCTCTAATTTGCTGATATTTAGAAAGAGAGGGTGTGAGGAGGAGGAACTATGTGAACCAGTAATGAACGCTGAGAAAATTAAGTTTGTACTACTTTAAATAACAGCTGTTTGGAAAAAAAAAGAAATTTTTCTATGGACATGGTTATGTATGAAGGTCTGTGTGCGGCTTTTCTGGTTTTCTCTCCCCATAGCTCCCATCTGGCTTGGTTTTGGCTACCGTACAATTTGGGTGGATGTTGTTTCGATGTGGGATTTCTGGGTGCATCTTGAGAATACAGTCAGAATTCCTGGGTCAACTGCTCTGTACCTTTAATATGCCTCATAAATTGGTAACAGAAGATGAGAATAACAGCTCCCTTGCTTGGAAAACAGTTTAGCTAAGTAAACCACAGACTCGACAGGAGCAGAGTGCCAAGGAATCATTCTGAAATCACCAAGAATACAGCAAAGATGTGACTGTTCCCCTGCCTTCCTCTAGACAGGCAGATCTGTTGGCACAGCGCTGGTAGTTGTGATCCACAGTGGTATTTCCTTAGGTCGGATGAGTGTCCCCTATTCTTCTCCCGTCGATGGTGGTGGCAGGCAGCCACCTTGCTTCTCTGCCATTGACAGTTGGGTGTATTCTGGAGTACAAAGTGTCTGAAGCAGGGAACCGCCTGCTGCTGTCACAGCTCCCTTTTGGAGAGTTGCCGTATCTCCTATTTTAGGAAACCGCCTCTTCTTCTGCAAAACATGAAATCGTTTTTCTGCCCCTTCCCTTCGGTAACTTGGTGAAATGAAGTCAAAATCCAATGGTGGTTCTGACTGGGAGACCTCTAATCCAGCCTTCTGCTCAGAGCAGGGTCAGCTGTGAGATCAGACCAGTTTGGTATATGCAAATAATCAGCATTGTATATTCAGAATAGACCAGTACTACAAGTTGATCTCATGCTCTGAAACTTCTAACATCTTGGTCATGTCAGATATTTAAACTTTTCTTCCTTTTTTCCTGGCTCAAAATTGCAAATATGTTTTTTTCCCCCCTCAATTTGCTGTAACTGAAGTGATGCGTTAACTGGAAACAAAGTTTATTTTGACTGTGTAATTGGCCATATGACACTCTGAAAGTCCTGTTTTCTTTCAAGCCTCTCGGTGACTTAGAAAAGCACCCACTTCTTCCCCCAGTGCCTTTGGTACAGGCATGGTTGAATAATTGTACATTTAGTGATCACAAAATGTCTGATAGTGATGATGCTTTCTCATGTGGTGAATACAGCTGTACAGTTGTATTGGGGCCAAGAAATGTTTGTGAAGATGGGCTTGCCTTAATTAAGCTTCTTGGGAGTTTATTCACTAACATGCAAAAATAACTAAATGTGGGCAATTTTCTCTAGATTGCTTAAAAAAGAATCTGTAAGAGGTCATTAATCAGGATGGTGCTCTCAACTGCCTCTAACTTTCTGTAATTTGGTTTTAGACAAAACCCCCTTATTCAGTCTTAAACCTTTCTTTTCCTGTGTAAATGTTAAACAATAAGTTCTTTCATCAGCAGCAAAGCCGGGTGAAGCTCACTCTCTGTTCTTGTTGGCTTCTTTTACTTAACGTTGGCTACAATTGGCTATGCAGAGGCCAGCGTCTAAAACCAGCTATTTTTAGATCAGTGCTACTAAGGGAGGCACAAAAAATATATGTAACTGGGTACTTGCAGTGGAGTAGATAAATATTTGTGTCTTTACAGTCAGGTCTTTTTAAAACTAAGACCATGTGGGGTGATTCCCGAGCTCAGTTTACTAACTAGGAAGCTGGGGTAATAACAAGCTCTAGACCAGACCTTAACAATAATCTTATTAGATTAATAAAATGTGATGCTTACGTGAAGAGGTA